GGGGTTTTCAGGCGATGCCCACATGGATTTAAACCCCTGCGCGCAGAATTGAGCCAATATGCGCCAGTGATTCAATGGAAATATTGGGGCTTGAAACGTTTTAGCCGGATTCTTGCCCCGTGCACCTTCCAGGGGCAACACCCAACCCCATTTGAACTGTCTGTCCCACAATGTTCGAAATCCTCATTTCCTACTTGTAACGCTTCCAGCAGCGCATTGATACCTTGCATGAGAAGTACGCCCCAAACCTGCCGTATTTTCACTTTTTGGATGTGAGTAGGTGTTTGAAAAGACGGTTCATGCCTGAAGGGCCGGTAAGCCGAGCACATTCTTCCTAGCCATTCGGCTTGTGGTCTGCTCGACACAACGCATGCGGAAACATCTTAAACATTCTTGAGACTTGAGTACGAGCTGCTCTTCCTCCCACATCCCAGATGCCAAGAAACATAGAACGAAAGGCAAGAGGCTTCAACTGACCAACGCACTTCGAGAGTAGGCTGAAAAACCATAACGAGAATGCGTATCAGAAGTTTCTAAGAGGAACTGCAGCTCGCGGGTTTCCGGGCACTTGCCCCTCCTCCTTGAGGATGAAAAGCTGAGGTTCCTCCTGAACTAACAGCGGCCAAAGTTTTGTGAAACCACGTATTTGGAGACTGGACGCTGCAAAGACCTTTCCAGGTGGGATCTTTGCTCAGTGCTGCCAGAAATTTGCAAGAAGACCGAAGGAACCAGCTGCGAAATAGTAGCATATCTTCTGGACGTTGGAAGCAGTAAGTCGGACCCCTTTTGTATAGAAGCCTGCTCGACTTTGCAAGATATACTGAACCATGTAGTGACGGGATTCATCCAATAGGTCCCGCTCGTCGAAAGTCCAAGAATTCACCAAGGGTGCAAGTCGGTCAACCTTTTCCGTGACTGCAGCGGCACTTGAAAGGCTGTAGAGAAAGAGCAGCGCGGGAGGATATAGCCACCCAAGCCAAAGCACCACGTCCAGAGCTGTGTAATATGAGTCTGACAAGTTCAACGAGAAGACCTGATAGGCAAATAGGATCAGTGAAATGATGCAGGAGGAGGCCATCACCACTAAAAACTCACTCAACTTGCAGGAAGTCCTTCGCAACGTAGCCTGTACAAGGTTCCACTCAACGATCGCGGCGTCAATGTTACTCGTGTTGAAGCATCGCACTGCAAAACTATCCACTGCCAATTCTAGTCCAGCAGTTATGTGCAAAGTGCAGTAGCACGCAGTGCAGTAGCATGCCGCCATGACAGTAAATGTCACGATGGTCGCAGCATCTTGTTCTGGAATTTGCATCAGCTTCCCATAGCTTGGCTGCACAGTGAACAACAAGGCAGCAGCTCGGCTACCCAGCATCAGCACAAAAATGCTGAGGATTTGCAGCAGGCGAAGCTTGGAAAGCTTTCTCCACTCCTCCAAGTAGTCATTCTCAGCTGCCTCGAGTGCGCATGCTGAAACAATCAGGTGGGAATCGAGGTTTACCTGTCCATGCTGCCAGGCGCAGCGTCCACCCACTACATAAACTACGATCAAGGAACTGAAGCGGAACTTTTTTCAACAACCTAGTGGCATAATCATCAAGCACATGTTCAAAGGGGCCGAGGAGGCGTGTGATCCCAGACCGGCGGAGGCTCACGGTTGCCAGTAGTGCACCCAGCAAATATAGCACGGTTGAGATCAAGGGCTCAATTTCCTGCACGCCGCCGCGCCACAGACTTAGCACAAAGGAAGCCCCGCAAATGATCATTATCTGTATCGCCAGAATGCAGCGCGCAAGCATGCGCCATCGCGATCCCTCATACAAATCCAGGATTCCGACGAAGGAGAGGAGTAACCAACCGAGATGAGGAAGCGCACTATCACCCACCAGCGAGATGCATCGAGGATTGCTGGTGGTCAGCTTGAGGCTATCGCACGCAAGCCCATTGGCTACTGTGGCTGTTATGGCTGCGTCGTGAGTAGCTTGCAGCTCGTCCAAAGATTTTCTGCGACATGTGCGGACCGTTTCGATTTTATCAGCTGGCTGTGCTGCACCCACTGAATCAGGATGTCTTAGGGACAGGATGGACACACAGGACATTGAAGCCGATGCTTGATAGGATACAGCTTTTGGCTGACCACTTCTCGAAGACGGAGGAGAGTTGCTTGGCTGGTGAAGGCCAATGACATCAGCAAGAGGCTGATCAGCTTGCAGAGGTTCCTCGCTACGCTCGCTGATTCCCTTGCTTGCCTTGCGGCGATGTTGCTGTTGGAGAACCCGCGCTGTGTGTTCCTCCAGCACGTCTATGATTTTGTGCATGGAAGGAGTGCGTGACGCGCTCTCACTGAGATTGGAATGTGAGCGCTCTCGCTCTCCCAGCTTGATCATCGATTCCTTGACATCACTGCGGCTTGCTGCGCTCGCACCTGACATCTTGCGACGTCTCGAAACATCCACGGATTTGGATGCTGAGCCCAGGTCACCACTGCGCAGCAAGTCGATGGACCTTTCAATCCTGCCAAGCATTTTCCGAAAATCCTGGAATTCCAGCAGCTGCTCATGGATCTGTGCTACAGAGGCGGACACAGCTTCCATCTGTCGCAAAGTCTGACCAGCAAGTGTGTCTGATGCATGATCCATGGTGAGCGGAGGCAAAGCGACACTGTGCACACCTATGCTTTGAGTCTGAGCCATGAAGTTTGCAGCCAAGCGAATGACTGCTTCATCCTACAGCTCAGTCAAATGCGGTGAACTGAGCCCATGATAAAGTGGATTGACCACCATGGAGTCGACAAAGAGACTTTTGTTGCCCAGGTAGGTCATCCGGTACGAGCTCATTTACACACGCAGCTCAGCAAGTACTAGGCATCATATACGTAGGACCTACTGTGTGCAAGTTTGTCACTGATGTGCTTCAGATGCCATGAGTCAAGAATGTACTTGGCCATGCCAAACTTTCCAAATGCAGGTAAGCTGACTACTAACTACTTGTATGGCAGTTTGCGTCAGCTCTCGTTTTGCAAGCTTGGCGGGTGGCGCCACTGTCGCAGAAGATCCAGTCACCAAAGCGAGCGCGATGCTTCCAAAAGGAGTGGAGACTATCACCACAACGGCGCTGAAGAGGCACATCATTTCTGCCGGCTGTCCAGTACAACTCGGAGCAAGTGGTGGCGAGCAGTCAGGATGCATCTCCGTACAATGTCAGCTTCCATTCATGAACGGCAGAAAGCGGTTCGGCCTCCAGAATCACCCGCGTGTCTGAAGCGCCTGATGGCACTGGGGCAACTGAATGCTGAGAATGTTCGTATCGCTGCAAGCAGCAAGGCCCTGTTACGATGCGTGGTGCATAAACGTCAGATGAGATTGGAAAATGCCAAGAGTGCTTCTGACAGCTGCTAGGCTCCTACATTCTAGGCATACATGTGGCGCCTCTGAGTATCAGAAGGCAGGTGACCGCAGATTGATGCAGGTGGTACTGGAGAAGACGCCTCTGCAGCAGAAAGAGCAGTGGGTGCGAAGCAGAACTACTATGCTTCCGTGCCCAAACATCTGCAAAGCCCTTTCTCCCATTTGGAAGCGTACCCATCCCTAAGCCTCCCCGCCTGGGATTTCTGCTTGTGCCCTGTGGGGCTGTCAGCGCTTCTGTCGGTTTGCCAGCAAGCTGAGCTGGAGTTATATCGCTGGCATCACTTGACGCAACCTCAAAGGATGCCAGCATCTGAGTGCAAGGCTGCTCTTGCAAATGATTTCACCACATGCAATGCACATGAACGCAAGGTGTGCCACTTGCAGCAAGCGCTTGCGTGTTGGCAAGCTGAGTGCAACACTGCTTCAAGGTTAAGCTCCTCTGATCCAACATCACCAGGAGGAAGGAGCTCAACGGCACTGAGGCATACGGGAGTTTTGAACCGCACAAAGATCTGGAGCAGCGCATCCTCTGCCACTTTGCTGCAAGCAACCAAAGCAACAAAACACAATTATCGTCAACTCAAAGCACGGACAACTTGAAAGTCCTGCTGGTCAGGCTGCCCTTGTTTCTCGGTGTGCACTTCCTGGGAATCTTCCGTCAAATGCAATTCTGCTGACCGGGTCTTCTACAAAGCCTTCCGAGGCCCCGGCCAAGGACCAGGATACAACAGAGTCTCTGAGATTCGCCACTGGCACGACCAGCGGTGCCAGCAATTCTCTACTCAAGTAGCCCCGCCAGATTCTCTGGGCGTGCTTTATCTCCACTTCCATGTTCCCCTCCCCGCGGCGGAGTGGAAGCGCCACGGCACCTGCTGGACCGATTCTTGCTCCAAAGCAACAGATCCGGACAAGATTTGCCCTGACATGTAATGTTGTTGTCTTTTTTCTTGCACTCGACTTTCAAGGCTGCACCTGCGTGCACTGGCAGCCCTTCGGAATCCGGCTTTGTTCCATCCTTGAGCTGAGCTCCGTGGAGGAGCCGGTATGGCTGGCGGTTGCTGTAGGCGATGTGCTGCCAGGAGACCTGGAGCAAAGCCAGCTCCTGCGTGATGTCCTCGTTCCTTCTGCGCATCTCTGGCACAAGCACGCAAGAGATCGGAAACAACACGCGTAGCAGGGGGATGATCTGAAAGGCGCGGGCGATGTTCAGGAGTGTGCCCAAGTGTTGATCATCCTGACCAGGCACACGACCAGGCACACAGGAGTGCTAGAGACTGCAAGCTGTCAAGGCTCATGACAGCTCCAACAAATCCAAACCCCAACAACGTTCAGCTTGCCATGCAGTCCTGAACGTTGAAGTGGGATCCAGAGATCATCAACAACATGAACGCCAACGACAAGGAAGCCAGGCCAACGAGCAACGTTCTCCCTTCAGCAGGACGGCTGAAGGGCTGTGCCAACAGCCCTATGCACCTCAGCATCATCGTGGCAGAGCTGAAGCAAAACTCCATGCTGGGGCATGAATTTAAGGTTATGCAGAAATCTGCTTGCGTGGGGCCACAGGATGCTGCAAACGAAGCTGCCGACTGCTCCTTGTGCCTGGTGCCCCGTGAGCTGCGGGACAAAGGCCACGAGCAGGAACCCGATCTTCAGGAACAACTCGAAGTGAAAGCTGTCCTTCCAAAGCTTTGGGTAGTTTGCTGCTAGTCTTATCTAGCAACGATTTGGGACAACTGAAGCGTGACGGATTTACCCACCATCAGCCATCGCATAAAGTATCAGGGCTTCTGAGCTCTCTGTGATCAAGCGCACAAGGTTGTGCAGCTGAGCAGCGGGAGCAAATTTGGTGAAGACATCGACTCCTCGCAAATACCCTTCTCGCCCTTCGCGAGCAAATTGGAAGAACAGGCAGCGCACTATCAAAGCTTGGAAGTTGCTGGCTGATCGCGCATGTGCCCTTCGCCCAAATAGCCGGTCTGACAATTCCGCCTCACACAGCTCTCTGTTGCCATATCACCGCCGGAACATGACCCCGCATGCATGCACAAGCTACGCTACAGCATACAATAGAGACTACGGTGACAATTTAGCTCATGCAATTGGATCCCCCGCTTTGTCTTTGGATGCCAACTCCTCATTGATGACAATAAGTCTCGTGGCTTTGGCATCTGGAAGCTCTGGTTGTGACGTCACATCATGCTGTGGATAATCCCGCTGAATGGCTTGCTGGCAAAAGACTTGATGAGCATCCAGAATTGCTGACCGCAAGCTTTCTGATGCTTTGACCTCTTCCAACAGCTTAATCTCCAAAGCCATCGTTCCCTCTGCAACCGCATACTCGGCACTGTTGGCCCCGTATATAGGGCTAGCCAGATTATTGAAATGTGCAATGCTCTCCAGAAGTAGAACAGAGATGTACGTGAGGTAGCCCCCGCCAAGTGCCAACGCAAATAGTACTGCCATGTAATACATGCGACTGTCGCAGCGAACTTCAGGCACAAACGCCATAATAGGTGGGTTCAGATCTGAATCGCACTCACCTACAGCCAAGAGAGCACTAGCAGTAGCAACCATGAGGAGTTTGATGACCTGAAGTTGAACCTGGGCCCAGATCCTGCTCCGCTCTTGGACTGCCAAAGGCAGAGCAGCCAGAAGGCCATAGACCGTCAGCAACACGAAGAAGGGAAGCAAGGAATGGCCGAGCAGCTGAACCATGCGACTGCTTGTGTAGCTGAAGATGCAGTCCAGGTGGATGGAATCTGTGATCACTGGCCCTGCCAAAGACAGCCAAAAATGGGGGGGTTCAGGCTTCTCTCTTTGGGGCTTTTCTGCTCGCTATTGTGAAGCAAATTAAGAGCAATTTGTCTGGCAAGAAGTTGCCCACGCCAAGACGTCCCACAATCCCGGAAGAAGCAAATTCAAAAGCTTGCGGCCAAAAACAAGGCCTTCCAAATCACATCAAGTCCACTGAGTCTACTGAGTACACGCGGCTCAGTGAACTACCATCTCTCTTCTGTTATCTGGTAAGGTGTCACAACCGCTCCACCAGCCTAGGTCAAGCTGAAGCACTTCCAGCAATGAGTATTCGCTGCGCGTCTCGGGCTCCGGGAGAATCTTGTTCAGAACCCCAAAGAGCTGGTAGACCTTGGGAGCTTCAACTGCCCTTGCTCGACTGCTCTGCTTGACGAGTTTCGGCGGCTTGCCTGGACCGCGGCCAAGACCTCGCGAATGACGTAGGGCTGCACGGCATTCCACACAGATGGCGGCTCCACAAGGTCTCTGCGAATCGCTGATGTGCTCCTCTTCTTGCGACCTTGCTGTCCAAGGGGCTGTGGATTTTCTGTGCTCTGGCATGCTGTTGTACCTGTGGTGTGGCCCTGAGGCTCTGACAGTGCAGCAGAAGTAGAAGTGCGGCTGCTGTCATCACCGCAAGTATGAGCAGGCCAACTCCACCCCAGCCCCATGCAAGGCCAAATGCCGCGCTCCTCAACTGATTGGTGGTGCACGGAAGGCCTCGGCACTGCAGTCTGCGCATCATGGATTCAGGTGCTAGCACCTTACATTGACACTGTGCATGCAGCGGATTGAATTGCCGGGGCCCCCGGCACAATCCTCCTCGGTTGAAGTATGACACGGCACATTGGCGGCACTTCGGGCCTGAATGTCCCTCTCGGCAAATGTGGCCTTCCGAAGATTTGGAGCGGAACGGTGCTGCTCTACATGCACTGCAGGTCAGCAACGGTTCCCAACACAACAGCAACCTGACGGCCCACGAAAGCATGAAAAGCATTAGGGCGTTGCCCAATATTAACCTCCATAACACAATGACCTCTTCGCAGAAATCCAAAGTTTCTTTCGCGCACACCATCGCGAGCTTTCGCGGAAGCATGTTTCAAGCAAAAACCAGGCCTTGAACTCTCAAAACAACTCTTGACCCATACCCTCAACTCC